TGAATTGAAAAAATATTTTCGTTTAAATTCACTTCCGAAAGTAAGAAAAGTAACAGCTTATACATGTCCCACTGCTGGGCAAAGGCCTCCTCTATACAGAGGGTATCAGGGCATAGTCCACCACGCGGCGCCACTGCGGTTTGGCGGACGTCACATATCTTCGAAATATTGTTATTTAATTATTATTTCGAAAATATGCAGGTTTCATCACGATTTTTTCCTTCACCGCTGAGCACGTGATAATTCAGCATTTAAAATTAACAATTTCATTGGTGCCGGCACCGGGGACCGAACCCTTGTTGCTCGAGTATATTGAATTAAAGGCGAGCGCCCGGACACTGAGCTCACTTCTGTAACACCATACATTTGGGAAGTAACATAATAGTGCAGCTGACCAGCAGGAATTAAAAACATTTATCGAGGTCAAAAAGGTTCTCGAGTGGCAGCCTCGTACTGGCCATCGCAGTGTGGGACGACCCCCCACTAGATGGAGTGACGACCTGTGCAAATGTGCGGGAAGTCGATGGATGCAGGTGGCTCAGGATCGTACTTCGTGGCAGTCTGTTGGGGAGGCCTATGTTCAGCAGTGGACTCAAACAGGCTGAAATGATGATGATGATGATCGATTAGTTTTATTAATAAATGCTTCAAGAGGTAAACATTTCAACATGTATCATTATTTCGCGATTTTTTTTTTAAAGAACATTCCCCTTACTTTAAGATACTTTATGAATAATAAAAATGCGGTAAAGCTCAGTTTGCGTTAAGTAACAACAATAAATATTTTCCATTGAATGCGCATGCCCATTTGCCACTTATTACAAAAATAAAATTGCTATAAATCCGACTTGTTTTAAATATCAAACAAATAACTTGTGGAGGGCATGTCTTTTCGTGAAGGTGAGTGAATATTTTTGTAAACTTCAATAAATAAATTTGCTGAAAGCATTTTCCATGAAATAACGTTCAACAAAATCAAATTGAAAATGTAAACAATAATACCAGTATTAGAAACAGGGCGCTATCCTCCCAATAAAGAAACAATAGGATAGTCCCTGCTATAACGATAATAAAAGATTAAAATACATGAGGCATGTTTAATCACTACGGGAAAAATATTGTGTTATGAACATAGTATTTCTCTAGTGCCTGGGTGTTAAAATATGTATATTTATTTACAAAAGAAACTAGTACCCGTAGTACAAGCGTTGCTTAGTTTGGGACTAGATAACATTGTGAAAAAATGTGTCCTAAAAATATTTATTATTTTATTATTTCTATCATATTTTTATTAAAATTAAATTTGGAATAATATATAATAGTTCGTAGTTGATTAAATTATATACTTGTTATCACTGAAATATTTTTTTATTAAATACTCACACACTGTTATCAATCCTGTTAATAAACATCTTTAGTTCATTAAGGTTTATTGGTTGAGATCTTAAACTTTTTAACATACCTCAATCAAGAGAATCCTACTCTTGAAATGCCAGATCGCTAAAAATTAAATTTATTTTTAGTCTGCTAGCGTGAAATCGAAAGATTTTCGCTGAGCATAAATACAGCTATTCCCCGTCTAAGCCCAGCTTTACCTTATTAGATTATAAGAATGAAAGTTTAATGGAATTCCAGCCCAGGTCTACGTGACATCGTGAAGTCTTATCCCTCGTAATGATTATGAAATCATTTATAACCCGAGTCAGGTATTTTTGTTACTGGTAAAGAAAATCAATGTAATTTAAACATTTGGTTTTTTTATAATGTGAGAAGGTGGCAAGCGAGCAGGCGGTTCACCTGACGTTAAGTGATAACCGCCGCCCATGGACATTTGCAACACGCGTCTCCCATAGTCTTTGAGCAGGTGATCACATTTGTAAGCGTTTTAAGTGTATATAAACACAAATACAAAATACATGATATCTTCTATTCCAAATGGAGTAGACATAGGTATTGTGTATTGTTTATTTTTTCTCTTATATCATATTTATATATACTTAACCGATTCAATGCGGTGGACTATTTGACAAACTTTCATGCCTGGCTACGAACAAATGTTTCGTGGCTCCTCTGGGGCGCCCAACGCCAGGCACTTTGATGGCTCCCCTAAGGCGCCTTCCGCCATGTATTGTAATGTATCGCTTTTTTTTTGTTGTTTCCACTTGCTGTAAGTTTAGTCGCCAACCAAAATCGAACGTAAGCGGTTTTATTGTTCGTTTAGTGTATAAAAAAGTGATTATCTACGTGTATTAATGGAAATGGAAGGTAAGTGACTCATTTATGTAAGGTGTTGTAAACCTTTTTGTAGTTTTCATTGAATTTATAAAACTATACTTATTTCTTTTCTAGTCTGTCGACAAAATTTAAATTCATGATAGATTTTTTATTTAATTACATTTATTTACATAAATTTAAAAGATTTACAATTCAGTTTACGCACTTTTTATTTTAAACAAAAAGTAGTTACAGAAAAATTCGTCGTAATGCTCACAGCTAGTTTTTTTTTTGCTTGATATAAACATATATTCTTTTTTTTCTAGAATTACCAAAAAAAAGAAAATATATCCCAGAATCACAACTGGAAACGCAATGTGACACTGACTACGAGTTTGTCGAACAGGCTTATTTAGAACAAAATTCCCAGACTTATGATGACTGGGAACCTGGTCAAGAAAATGAAGATGAAATAAATTCTGCGGCGGAAGGTACAAAAAAACCTACGAAAGATTGTGCAACGTACACAGAAATATCCACCAAAGATATTTCAACGTTTACTGAAAATATAATGGTAGAAGATAAAGAACAATTTACGAGTACAACCGTCGTGGATATTCACGCCTGTAAATATTTTGGGAAATTCGTATCTAACGAGTTACTACGTTTTAGTATTAATGAGAGATATATTATAATGCAAAAAATTATAGAAACGCTAAAAAAATAATTTTTTAATAAACCATAAGTTTTAAATGAAAAGAGTTTTAGATGAAGAGAGAGAGAGGCGAGTTAAATGAAAAGCATCGGTTTTACATAATATTAAGGTTTATTTATTAACATTGTGCAATAATATTACATAATTGTACTTATTTATAAGGTAGATTTTTACTATAATCATTAAAAAGACTGATTTAGTAATTACTAATGAGAATTGTTTGTTATAAGTATTTAAAAATCTTCAATTAAACAAATTATAACATATAGTGTGTGTATTAATTGAAATCATGAAATACCTGCAAGCTAAAAATATCATAAATATTAAAAATTTCTAATACATTTGTTAATATTTATGATATTCTCGGAAGCATGGGGTGAGACATAACCCTGGGAATTCTGGGCAATCAGAACAACCATACATAACCAAGTTTCTTTTTTTAGTTTTGCTATAGCATACTCTGCATCGCTTTCTCATTGTCCTTCCACCACTCTTAGTAAAAGTACTAGGTAAATGTATTTTTCTTTCAACAAGGGATCGTTGTGGCACGGTTGGTGGCTTTAATAAATTTTCTAATACACTTTTCTAAAATCATATAATTCTATATTCGATTTGCTTATTTCTCGATATAAAAGAAAGCTATTCACCAAACATATTTGGATTAAATGGATTATAACTTTTTTATACCAACGTAAGGTTTTGTGTTTGCAGGAATAATAACTTAAAAGCTGGTCGTGCCTATCAATTGCTCTCATGTATTTATTGTACTGAATTAGTACATCAGGCTTATACTTTATAGTGCGTATTCGGCGACTATTAGTCCCTTTGTAAATGCTTTTATGCTGCGAGCTCAAAAGCAGCACTTCGCGTTTATCCTGCCATTTGGTAACAACAATTTTTTTGGAATTGTGAACAATACAAGATTCACCGGTGTTTAATTTTATATTAATTAAAGTGGGATTACCAGCGCGCTTTGCTCGTAGTGTACCTGTTACGTACGTGTTTTTATCTAAAAGCTCCTCTGCTAAACCAACGCTGCTATAATAATTATCAATATAAAGTGAATGGCCTTTATTTAAATATTTTTCTATTAACAACATTACTACTTTTTTTACATGATTTTTTCCACCTACCAATTGATCCCCAGAACCAGCATATAAATGAATTTTTATTACTAGGCCATTCATGTCAGCTAACATATATAATTTAATTCCATAACGATGGACTTTCCCTTTTAAATACTGGCGGAAAGAAAGACGTCCTTTCCACAAAATCAAGGATTCATCTATTGCAACATTATTGGATGGGTAATAAGTTGTGGACATTGTTTCGTTGAACATATCTATTAACGACTTTACTTTAAAAATACTTTCCGGCCTCATTTCATCTTGGACATTTAATGCTCTTAATATTAAATAAAACCTGTCCCTAGCCATAAATGAATGTGGGCTTAGGCGCATTAAATAATGTCGAGACCAATATTCGGCCATTCTATTAACTTTCACGGTACCCATAAATAAAATTATGCCAATAAATACCGTGAACTCCTCAAGACTTATCTCCTTCCATTTTGTAAAACGAGCTTGTGCGGTGCGTGCTGCAATCTTCAATTCATTGCCGCACTTGTTTGTACAGTTTAAAATTAAATCAATGATACGACTATTGAAAAATAAAAAGAAAAAATCTATCGGTGTTTTTCCACTCATGTTATGAGGCGGTAATAAACCAGGTGTGCCCGTAAAAGGAATCTCGGCCATATTCGAGGGGTTTCCATTGAACCAATCGGTAGTAGGGGCTTCCTCAGTTGTATTTTCAACGTCCTGTTCTAACTGATCTTCAGCACAAACGGCTTCTTCATCTTCTGTGTTTTCATTTACCAAATCTTCCAGAAAGTTATCCACATCCTGTGCCAAAATCCCATACAATTCTGCATCACTTATAATAGCATCAATGCATGGCATGTCTGATAAGTTTATATGGCTGGGAGACATCATTCCGGATAACTCCATAGATATGAGATCCCAATTTGACGGGCCAGGTTCAGGGGATGGAGGAGTAGCCATTTTGGTTAGCAACTGAAAAAAATAGTAGAATAAGTTATCTAGCAGTCAACACACTTTATTTTATACGTTATAAAGGTGTTGTAACACAGACGAACACACACACAAACACACACACACTCTCTCACACAGATATACATTCTCACATTCACTGTCATACACAAGCACACACACATACACACTCACACAGTGTTTGTACATGTGAGTGTGTATGAGTGTAAGTGTTTATCTGTTTCGTCGAATGTTATGTATTTAAGCGCTTATGTGTGTGTATGTGGTGTTTGTGTGTCTATGTATGAGTCTGGGGGTGTTTTGTCTGTTCATTTGTTTCAAGAGAAACACCTTACATAGGGTACCTATCTTTCCGCTTAACGTAGAATTTTAAGTGTTTTACCTCTTACTTAACATTGTGTAGTTAAAGACAGAATAATAAACGAACAATTTAGAAAATTTTGTATTTTTTTTAGTTCTGAACACTGGTCACGAAATGGGATTTTTTCCAAAAACCATAAAATGTTCAATAACTCAAGACTGATTTATTTTGGCATATGAGTGTTCCTACAAAAGTTGTAGCACGAGACCTGTGCTACATGCCCTATCTAGGTTTTCCTCTAACATGGAATCACTCTGTCCCTCATGTTAAATTTCAAAAAGCTCATGTTAAATTTCAATGATTGAAAAGACTAGAAAAGAAAAAAAGAACATTGTTAAAAAAACTCACCTTGTAAAGTCAAGAATCAAAACAGAGTCCAAATTACTAGCCGGGGTAGTCACTGAAGCAAAATCTCGAAGTCCAGATACACAGTCCACAGTTGTTAAAAGGCAAACTAAGAGACTTCAGAAGCGAGCATTAAACGGTCACAAACGTGCTTCCGTCTGATCACCATAAATAGCAAAACAGAAGTAAACGAAAAAACATCATCGATAGTTAAGTAATTTGCGCGTGAGAAACCTTGTTAAGTGATTTATGGCACCGACTTCTTTTGTTTTTAGTTAAATAACATCTTTCCCTAGCCCATCAATAAAAAGGGTCGGTCGGCACGGCATATTAACAATAAGCAGTAGGGCAATAAAAAGCTTAAAAATCTTTAAAACATCTTTGATATGACTGCATAGCATAACAACAAAAGATAGTGCTTTTCTGAGAATCGTTTTTTGTTGTTGTTTCTCACCAAAAATAAACTAAGTACATTGTCTTGATACCTAAGGAATGCAATTACTAGTCCGGTTAAATTTGGACATACTTCGAGAAACTACCTAGTTATTACCATAAACTTGCAAAAGAGCATATCCACAAAGCAAAAAAAGTGAAAACAGATATTTTTTAAATATTTAACTGTCATGATTAGTGCTATTCGTTGTAACCCTTAATATTAAATAACATTTAAATAACGCTTAAAATGGTTTACCATCCCCGAAGAGTGTGAAATCACGCTACACCTTAAAGCGATTTCTCTGGAAAGGATCTACGTGATAAATAAAGACACTAATATTTTTAGAACACTGAAATATGTACTATTGATAAATTTAAATTAGTCAGTTTTTTGGTTTCAAATATTGGCTCCTCTGGGGTGCCACCCGCCATGCACAAAAGTTACCTTTCATAATTATTGTTTCTATTGAAAAGGTTTACAACATCTGAAATGTCTTTTTTCACGCTATATCTTGAAACTAATACTAGTATCGTAATCTACGTGACAAATAAGGAAACTTTCATTTAGGGCTAGCCTCTGAATAAAGCTTTTTTAGCGGAGTTTTACAGGAAAACATTTTGGCTCCTCTCGGGCGCCACCCGCCATACACAAAAGATACACATGGCGCCTCTGCGGAGCCATCCGCATTGAATCGGTTAAGTAAAATTAAAATTATACAGAAGAAACATTTAAAATTCAGCTTTTATTATATGACAAAAGGACAGTTTTATTTTATTGAGGTTTACGACATCTGGTTGCGACGATTCTAAGGGTCTGGCAGTAGATGATATGATTTCTAATACTGTCCAGAAGAAATAAAATTGAGCTTTGCTTATGGTATGGCTGTTAGACTATTAGCAAAGTTGATTCCACTCGAAATACTAATCCTACTTTAATTTCTTCAGACCCAAAGTGACTGATACTTACTAAACATTGCTATAATTTCTAAATCTAATAGTAGTTTATTTCCAAACATGTTTTTTCTCTTATTACCAATCTAAAAAATAATAAGTGATGCTCCCTTCGAAATTGTCTTACGAAACGTTCCGTTGTAGAGTATGAAAATTTATGATATAATACACTATAGCATTGATACAAAAAAAAAATGAAATCAGCCATACCAATTTCGGCACGTCGACATAGAGTGTATTTACAATTCAATGCGCAAATTACGTGAGCTCCTGATTTATGCCAGGCTGTAAGGCCAACCAAAAGTGTCACCGATAAAAGAGAAGATAAATTTCATTCGTTTGTTATGTGTAATGCATACTTTATACGAATCTCTGATCCTTATTACATACGTAACAAAACTAATTCGAGTACACGTGCCACTCGGAATAAATCCAACGTATAAATTATTTTATATAATACTAGCTGTCCCGGCAAACGTTTCTCTGCCATATAAATTATTTCGAGGGAATTAGTAGGGTAGAAAAAACTGTTTACGGTGGACCACCCTTAACATTTAGGGGGATTAAAAATAGATGTTGTCCGATTCTCCACCCTGGCCGATATGCACGCTAAAATTCACGAAAATCGGTCGCGCTTTTTCGGAGGAGTTCAATTACAAACACCGTGACACCAGAATTTTATATATTAGATAATAAACATTCTCCGTACGTTTTTGTTTCTCTTTGCCTAATTTATTAATCACAAGCGATTGAAATGTATGAAATAAAAAAGAAAGATTAATGCACACCACTTGGGTTCTAACTTGTGTAGAAAGCAAGTTCGATCTTTTGCTTTTGTGTCTATTTTTAATTCGTTTTTATTACAAAACAATTTTTGTACGATCTTGCAATAGAAATCTGTACAACTCGCTATTTCTTCAGTATCACCTAACGGTATAATGTAAATAATAAGATGTAATTAATGTTATTACGCGACGAGCTCGTGAACCTTTCGTAGTTGTAAGATATTAATTAGGTCGTGTAAATGTTCCTCGGGATATAATTATTGTTATAGTTGTAATTAACCGGAGTGGGTCGGTTCGTAAAAGTATAAAATAATGTCGCCGATTCGTCGACCCTGGGTCAACGAATTCATTGGTTAGTGTGAGTAGTTGGACACATCTCATTGCGATTACGATTCATACCAATATTTCAGTTTAACTATGATAATAATTATGACTTGATAGGTAAAATTAACAAAAATTATCGACATCGCGTCATCTAAGCCAGAGGCCAACAGCCGATAATAATGATATAACAAATTATTGAAATTGAAGATACTTTCGCGTTTCGTTTGGTGAGTAATCGGCCTAATTTTTGAAAGAATGTCTTTTGCAAGCTCTCAGGTATCGCGGCTGTCCACTTCACACCAGGTGAAACACCAGCTCGCTATATTCACATAAAAAAGATTATGTATATGACAGCTTTACAAAATAGTTACTAATAAGGTGGCTCCTGCAGTTGTACGACTAAGATAAGTCGATGCGGACCTGGGCCACTGGCACCTGCATTCGAAGATACAATTGACTCCTTAGAATGTTGTCTTTCATAAATGTTTCGAACTACATTAATTTAAATAAAAAGAAAAAGATTTATTTTTTTAAAACAACCAGTTTGTACTCGTATGCTCGATAGTTTAACTTATTTACGCGAATATCAAACATTTTAATGAAACCTTCTTTCCGATTTAACGTGTTTATTTCACTTTAAACTCTCGATTTCTTTTCGACTACTTTACAGCACTCGTGTTTTCAGGCTGGAAAACAATTTTGGATCTTTCAAACTCACCATACGCTGATATGTGACGACGGTTTCACCTTTTAAATAAAATAAAGACATCTAAATCCAATTCAAAAGTCTTTTGTGGCTTTAATAGTGGCATGATCTAAACATTAATGACCTCGATATATCAAGGTAAATTCTCAATCGTTCCACATTTGCGTTTGCTTCTCTAATACAAAACAATTACACGTATTGTTTCCGCCCGAATAATAGTCTACTCTACCATGATATTGGAATATGACGGATAACTTCAATTGTGAATTTACATATGAAGCATGCGTCTTAACGTCATACATACACTTGTCGTGAAATTTGAACTCAAAACTTCTTATTTAAAGGTACAACCCTTTGCAAATGCGTTGTAACACCCGTCCCATAGAGATGAGTGTTAAAAATGTTTATGAGCGACGATAATCACTTAATATCAGGTGAACTGAGAGCTTGTTTTTCACTTTATCACATAAAAGAAATGGTCATCAATGTGCTTTCAGTTGCATCATAATTACTTCCTCTTAGTCTATCAATTTTTCATAAAATAGGTATCAATACCTGATTAAATCTACAGGCTGTGTGTGATTTTTGCAGATATGCGTAGTTATGAAGGAATAATTAGCACGTCTTCAGTTCAAGCGTTAATAACGATGTTCTAACGTATACTTAATATATAAATACACCGACTTATATAAATGAACTTTTCACCGTAATCAATTTGGTGGAGAACATTTTCTTAAAGTCGAGCAGCGCTAAATGACAATAAATTAATTGCTTGAAACGTAAGTTATTGAATGTAAGTGTTCCTTGAAAGTTAGGATCAAATCAAGCCAAGATTCTTCACCGGGTACGTACGAAAGGAGGTGGAAAATAAAAACCTACAAACAAATAAAGTATTCATTAACATACAAACATTGCTTACTTTTGGATAACATTATCCTGTGTTGTAAGGGCGTTTTACAAACGTAAATTTTACGCGGACAAACACCCAGATGCGAAACGACTATCTGTCCCACATAAATTGTTGTCCCGTTTGGGAATCGAACCCACGATCCCAGACGCCGAAACCAATATCTTGAAAAATGCGCCGCGGAGTCAACTGTACGAGTAAAGATCCGAATATATCTTCGGATACAATTTTCTTTGTTTGCACTACTGTTCACTGTTTACTTAAAACCTAACAGAATTTTTCACGTTATTCCGCATTAAAGATTTGATGGAGTAGCGAAATTGAACGCGTTGTTGTGGCTAAGTGAATTGAGGAGCGTAGAAGCGGAATTAAATGGAAATATCTACCCCGCCAAGTTTTCATACTGTCCTGGTATTGCCAATAAAAAGGTTTTAATGCTAAGACATTGACTGCTTTTATGTTCATACATTTCTCTTTCTATTGATTGTTGGAAAAAGCACGATCACGTTGCCATATATTAATATTTTTTTTAGAAAAGCCCATGAATGTAGATATTTTTGTAAGATAATGTATCAATAAAATATTTACTCAAATGGTTTCATAGCCAAAACGCCTATCAAACGTAATATGAGCTTGATGGCAATTTAACACAGGCCAGTTAAAATAATTTGCAAATCAATTGGAATGCAAAGAGTACATCATTCGATAATGATGATTCGACATGTACGCAAGTTCCGTCCGCGCAATGCATATTTATTGCAGTTTGATTCTTTCATTTATGCAATGTTGCAGAAATTCTGTGGTTACTGTATTTCAATAAGGGCTGATTTGAACCCGTACCAGCAATTTAAAGCAACTAGTGATGCGTATGACAACGGAGTTATCAACCTTCTTGCACGTTCGCAAACGTAAACAGAAAATGCATTTTGTTTTATTCTTCGCTCTCT